GAACTGCAGATAGCAGTCAGCTGAAGTGGCCTGCAGTACTGCGCTCTAACCACTGAGCCACCTCGGCTCTTTTTTTTTCTCTAGAACAGGGATGGTGAACCTAGGATACGGGTGACACACTGTGCCATTTTTGGTGACACGCCCGGGCTCTGGTCCCTCTGGAAGTCATACGAGAAGGTCTTGCTCTCGGGCAGCCTCTGAGGCATCCAACAATTGCACGAGGGTTCTCATGCGACTTTCTGACACTCCCCAGGCCCGGTGGCAGCCGTGCCCTCTTGGGAGGCTTCAGAGGGTCCGGGGGGGGGGGAGAATCCAGAGGACAGGAACATCCAGAGAGTCCCCTTTTGTCCAAACTGGGTGGGATGACACACCAGCAGAGTCACGTGAGGCATTTTCTCAATTTTTGACACGCCAAAAGATTCGTCCTCATTGATTTAAAACCCATCTAACCTTCTCAACCTGCCCAGCTTGGTGGCTCTGGCTGCAACGCACAGTGACCGAGGATGGGCCCTGGGCAGGACAGCTGGTCCCTGCAACAACTTCCATGCTCTATACCCTGCCAACAGCCAGGGGATACCTCTGGGCCCCAACTAATAAGGATTTGGGGGGCAGTTTATTAATAGAGAGGGGCTTCTCCTGGCCAAAACCCCACTCATTTCCCCTCAACGGGCTGTGAAAAAGAGGCCACTGGGCATTCGGGGGCAGGGCGGGGGGCTTACCATCAGCTCGGGCTCGAATGTCCTTCTGGCCAAAGATGCTGCTGCCACCGGCCCCCATCTCTGACACTGCAGAGAAAAAGAGCTGTTCGTCCCCCTCTCGCCCACAGGTGGGCACCTCCCTGAAGCCGAGGGCTCTTCTGGCATCTTCGCCTTCGGAGCGTGCCAAGGGCAGGGGTGGGAGGCTCTGGCTGTGCCGCTCCTGACTCTCCAGAAATACGGAGCTGTCCCTCTGTCCCTCAGGGATGGGCGAGAACTCCAGGGACGAGTCCCGGCTGGTCCGAATGGGTGGCGAGGAGCCGTTCTTCTTCCGGCCCTTGGCCAGCTCTGCAAAGGAGGTGACCCGCTTGGGAGGGGAGCTCTGGAGGGCCAAGGAGGGACTGTCGCTCAGCTTGACCGGACAACTCAGCATGCGCTCCAGGGAACCCAGCCGGCTGGAGGGGCTGCGGTCCAGGTGGCGGTCGTAGCTCCGTGAGCGCTGCCTGCCTCCAGCCAGGCTGGGCGGGGAGACGTTGATGTAGACCTGCCCTTCGATGGCGTTCTTCTCCAACTCCTCCTGTGACTCATCCCGGGACCCCTCCGTGTCACTCTCCTCGGGTCTCTGGAAGAGGTAATACTCGGTGGGCTGGAGGGGGCTGCTCCTGGCCTGCTCCTCGGAGCAGCTGGTAATGGAAGAGCCAGGAGGGCTGGGGGAGGACTGGGAGGACAAGTCGCATGTCACCAGCTTGTAGTAGTTCTGGGTGGCCACCACGAGCCGCGCCTGGCTTTGAAAGCACGCAGTCAGGTCAGAGCCATCGGATGGGCACGGATCGCAGAGCGGTGGGTAGGAGTTGCAGTTGGCATCCAGGACAGGGGAAGAAGGGTGGTGGCACCCGCAGGACTTCCCCGCCCCCCCCAGATCCTGCAGCTCTCCGGGCAACTTTGACTCCTGTGACGAGGAGTGCAAGTCGAGGTAAAAGGCGGCCATGTCTGACTGGCTGCCTGAAGAGGAGTCGCAAGACAAGGGGCCCGAGTTCAGGTTGGTGTGAGGCTGGCCGTGGCGCCTCTGGTAGAGGGTGCTGAAGTTGACCAGGATGCCATCGGAGCTGTTGCAGGAGGAGTCACTGATGTAGCCCATCTGCTGGTCCAGGGGCTCTGACTGGCTCGAAAGGCTGTAGCACCGGCAGCGCTGCAGTTCGGAGTTGGAGCAGCTGCATGTCCGGCTGCGGACGGCCTCTGGATTGTTCATCAGGTCGTCTGACTCACTGGCCCACTCCTGCTCCAGGGAGAGGCTGTTGGAGTCCCCACGGTGGCAGCTATACTCATCCAGCTCCATGCATTCTGTCGCTAGGTGGCCCTTGTCCTGAGACTCCTCGTCGGCTGCCAGGCCAGGGCAGCCTTCCACCGTGTCCATCCGGTGGCTGCCACCCCAAGGCCTCACCACAGGGCTGCTACCGTGCAGATGGAAGGGAGGCAGTGCCGGCTCGTGCAGGCGGAAGGCGGACCGGCCATCGTGCAGGTGGAAGGACTTCTTCCCCGGGTCATCCTCCGAGAGATCCCAGGCCTCGCCGTCCCTCTGCAGGAAGGGGTTCTGCCGCCGGGGGGCTGCGGGGGCAGCCAGTGTGTGGGAAGGGCTCTGCCCACCCACGGGCTCCTCTTCCGAAGCTCTGAGGAGGCTGCTGTAGACCAGCGAGTCTGCCTGCAGGAGAGTCCTCTCGGGGAGCGAACTGGTCCGTCTGACCCCCAGGTCAGAGGGAAAGAAAGGGTTGCTGCGCTGGCTGCCGCCGCCGCCGCACTGCCGGTCCGGGACCTGGCAATGCACCAGCGGAATATGGTGAACGATCAGCGTTTCTCCTGTCAGCTTGGGGGGGCTATCCATCGTCGGTCCCATTCGCCAGGGCACCTGCGGCATTGAAGCTACCCATGGAAGGGTCTTGGGGAACGGAGCGGGCAGGCAAAAGACGACTCCTCAGGGCAGACCTGGCAGAGACAAAAACGGCACCCTGAGTCACTGAGGGCAAAGTCAGCTTCCAGCAGCTCCCCCCCACCCCCAGCCATATCTCAGGGGACGCCTCCTCAGCAGCCCCTCCCTCCCTGGGACTTTGCAAAGGAATCTCCCACAGGGGGAGGGCGGGAAGGGGACACGGGCAATTCTGCAGGCATATCTCCATACAGGACCCTTACCCAGCGGCATAGTGACGCCCCCCCCCCGCCCCACCTGCCTGGTGCCTCCCTTTCACACGGGGTGGGGGTGGGGTCTCATCTGGTGACTCTGGCTTACGACCTGGCTGGGGAGCAGACGGGGTCTTTGGGCCCAGCGGGTCCATCCACGTGTCCTGCGTTAGGCAGCAACCCGATCCCAGCCCAGCCAAGAAGAGGTTGGGGAGCCATCTGATGTGGTTGCCCACTTGGCATCCCCACAGGAGGGAGCACAATTTGTGTGTTTCTGTTATGGTTGGTGGTGTTGAGGCGACAGGAGAGGGGAGCCCCACAGGGAAGGCAAACTGCTCTTGTGGGACTCTTCGCCGAAGCTTCCCTCCTGAAACCTTCGAGAGAGAGAGGGGGCAGAGAGTCCCAGCAGCCGGGGGGGGGCTTCACTTCTTCCTGTTCCAGGACGCTGGTGGGCCGGTTGGAAAGAGGTTGCTGGAATGAAGGTCAAGGGCCAGGAAGAGGGCCCCGTCTTGCTCCATCCCCACGGTTCCCATCCCTGTGGATAACTCTGGGTTGTCCTGACTCAGACAAAAGTTGTCGAAGGAGCCAGCCAGTGTGTTGTGGTGCTGAAGTGGCTGGAACCCAGGAGCGTCCTTCTCCCACCTGAGGCCCAAGCTGGCCGGCCTTGGGCCAGTCGCCCTGGGAAGCAGACAAGGGCAAACCCCCTCCTGAAATCCTGCCCCCCAAATGGCACAAAACTTCTACAACAAGAACAACATTCTTTTTGTGTTATGCCCAGGGTGGATTCCAAGGATCAGGCAGAAGAGGCCCAAAGTCACTCGATGGTGACATTGGAGGCTTGTAGACATGTAAATAAAGGCAATAAAATACAAGGCCCAAGGCCTTCCCAGAGGCCACCCCAGGCTTTCCAGTGGCAGCTGCCAGATTTCCTGGCCGGAGCTCTGGAAGGGGCCAGGCGCTTCCATTTAACCCGGTTTGTGTCTGATCACGAAGGACGGAGGGGATGGTCCAAGATGGCCGGCTGTGGTGGCGCAATCCAAATGCCACCTGGTTTTTGGGGCAGATGTGGAGGAGGAGAAAATGGGCAGAGCCTTCAGAGCAGCAGGATTCGGCCCTTGTGGAGTGCAGCTGCCTCTGGCTCTGGCCATTAAGCTGGCTACAGACTCTGCCCTGCTGGCCTCCGGGCCTCCCTGTGCCTGGGATTGGTCAGAAGCCGAAAGAAATGGGAAGGAGCCCTCCTTGCCCCAGGCCCCCTGCCCTCCTTCAGTGGGTCTTTTGCTGAGAAAAAAAACAGCTAAATCTTCTGTGAGCAAAACCCAGGGGCCTCTGGAGCCCTCCCCCCCCCCCGCTCACCACCTTCCCCTGCCCTCTCAGCCCCCAGAGAAAGCCCCCCCCCTTTGCACCGGTCACTTCCCCTCCATTTGTGTAGCTGAAGGAGTGGGGTTGGGGGCAAAAGGCTCTCCGGCCAAGGGCTTGGAGCTCAGGGAGAGGAAAGGCTTTAGGAAGCAGAGCAAGGTTAAAGGGGGGGGGGGAGAAAGGGGGGAGTTCAAAGGGAGAAAAGAGAATGAAGGCCGGGGTATCACAACGGATCTACACGCACTGCACATCAACACCCCCACCCCCCAGGATAAGAGGGCCACCTAAGAGAGCTTCCACCTAAAACCAGGACTTTCGTATACATTAGGCTAGACAAGAATTTGGTGGTAAACTAGACACACAAAAAATTGTACTTCGATGTCTTACTGATTGAGGAATGATGAAATGTTTGTTTTAAAAGAAATAAAACTTTTGAACTGAAAAAACCAGGACTCTCTGCCTTCTGCATCCAACTCTGCTCCTCACCAAAGACAGAGACACACACACACACACACACACACACACACACACACACACACACACACACACACAGGTCTCCACCTCCTGATCCTCCCATTGCCGGGTCCAGAAGAGCCAGTCGGCCGGGCTCTCTACAGGGCTGGCTTGGAGAGTTCAGGAAAAGAGGCCAAGCACACACACACACAGGTCTCCACCTCCTGATCCTCCCATTGCCGGGTCCAGAAGAGCCAGTCGGCCGGGCTCTCTACAGGGCTGGCTTGGAGAGTTCAGGAAAAGAGGCCAAGCACACACAAACACNGGTGATGACATCACGGCTTTAGCGCCGCGATTTTATCGCCGCGATTTTGACCAGCGCGGTTTTGTCGTGCCACGTGTATATGCATTAATATCCGCCAGAAAGCTTTTTTTCTTTCTTTAAATACTCTATTTTGTAAGACTCTTCCTGAGCTTTCAGCCTTGGAGAGATCGATAGAAGGGGTGGCAGGTTTCTTAATCTTTTAAAATCTTTTAGGATAACTAATGAGCATGCTTTCTTACTATTCTCCGATTACTTACTGAATTGATTAGTGGTGGGATTCAATTTTTTTTTGCTACTGGTTCAGTGGGTGTGGCTCAGTGGGTGTGGCGTGCCAGGGGATGCATACTGTAAAATCTCCATTCCCTCCCCACTTCAGGGGAAGGTTATTGCAAAATCCCCATTCCCTCCTAATCAGCTGGGACTCGGGAGGCAGAGAATAGATGGGGGCATGGCCAGTCAGAAGTGGCATTTACTAGTTCTCTGAACCACTCAAAATTTCCACTACTGGTTCTCCAAAACTGGTCAGAACCAGCTGAATGCCACCTCTAGAAGGATCTATTGTGTAAATTGGATGCTAATTAAGGATGACATAGAAGACCAAGAAGCCAACTAGAATATCTCTGATCTAGACCACTTTGTGGGCAACCTCTTCTCATGATGTACTGATTCCAGTGAAAATAGATTTCACTTCCGGAGGAAAAAAAACCCAATCTTTATGTTTTGCAACATAAAACTCTCCTGAGGCAGAGAAAAGAGCAGCACCACTGATACCCTATTTTAGGTAGGGAATTCTCTCCTTACCAGATGGAGCCCCCTTATGGAGTACTAGGAAACTGTTATCATGGCAACTCCACTGCTGTGCACTAGAAACCATTTTACGGCATACAGTAGAAGCCATTTTAAGGCACAACAGACGGTAACACCCCAGGAGTGTTAGAGGTGTCTTATCCCCACAGTATTTTTTTCTAGAAAGTAAGTCATCCATGTACCACGTTTGGTTGGAAATTGCTCGAGGTGTTCCAGAGTTATG